GCATTTAAGCGGAAAAAATCGTGGATAAATTGGAGTCGATAGTTAAAAGAGCCGTGTTTGAGATTAGGTTAGGCCTACAGGGCATTAGTGTATATAATTCCGAAAATAATAGTATTTTCGGAAGATTCCTAAAATATATCAAAAATTGCTAAATTCCTGTTTTTGCTACTGTCCCAATTAAGCGTTTAAATTACGTATTCGTTTATTAGTTTGATTTCTCTCGAGATTTGGTCCAAAAAACGGCTGCCCCAATTAAACGGAATGACTGTATTTTAGTACAAAAATGAAATCAAAAACTCCACACCTATATAAAAAAATGACAAAGCGCATTATTCCAGAAACTTCCCGTTTTATTAGAGAGAGGTAATATGGTGCCATCTAGTGGGGATGAAAGACGTAAATTTTGGTTTTTTTTTCTTATAACTCGGATAACTTTTTCGTACTTCGACCGAAATTCACCAAACTCTGGAAATATAACAAGCAACTGTGTGGCTTCATATTCGAAAAAACAGCACCCAAAAATGTCAAAATACTTTTTTGTTATTAAGCGTTAAAGAGGCGAAAGTCGACGCTTTCGTTTTTGGAATGTATCTCTTCAAGGAGTTAATTATATTTTCCTAAAGGTTATTTATGCACACGCCGGGAGTTCTACGAGCATTTTGACACCAAAATAATCAAATATAACGAGGAAATATTTTTAAAAAACTCTGACAAAAAGTGAAAATATTACCCCTGTAACTTGACTTAGAAAAAGGAGGGAAAAAAAGGAAACAGATAAAGTCCATTTATTCCACAATCATTTACAGCATATACCACACTAATTCTGGATGGCCACAATTTACCATCGTCTTTCTCTTTTTCTTTCCTATTTTCTCTCAGTCAAGGCGCTTTTGGTCTAACTTGTAGATTCCTCGACCATCCACTCAGTAGCTTTCTTTTAGGTTCGCCTCGATTGGCACACTGAACTCTATTTAGTCATGGTGACTCACGCCTGCCGACCCCCTCCGGAAAAACTGATTCCTTTGGTGGTAAGAATCTAACATTATGTGATATAAACACGCACGATTCGGATTGCTTGTCTTAAGACTCGCAACAACACTGCCACAGCAACTGTTGTTCTACCACTTTAAATTACTGGATTAAATTTTGTCGTTTTATGAGCATTTATTAATTCAACATACAACAACCAACATTTAAAACGATTTATAAGGACATTTTTGTTAATAAATAAAAAACAAATAATGAAGTCTTTCGGTTAAGTAGTTAAAGACTTAATTCAGCAAGTAGGAACCGCTCAATTGTTTGTAATGGATTGAAACCGCTTCNTATTAATTCAACATACAACAACCAACATTTAAAACGATTTATAAGGACATTTTTGTTAATAAATAAAAAACAAATAATGAAGTCTTTCGGTTAAGTAGTTAAAGACTTAATTCAGCAAGTAGGAACCGCTCAATTGTTTGTAATGGATTGAAACCGCTTCTTAACGGTTTCCTATTGGCGCGTTTCTATTACAATCAACGAATACGAACCCAGCAGCCGGGAATTCCGGTAACGATTTCATGTGATAAGCACTCGAGTAAACCGAAAGGTTTTGCCTACGTTGAATTTGCGGAGAAAGAATCCGTCGAGAGTGCTATGGCCTTAGACGAATCACTTTTTAGAGGAAGACGAACCAACGAGGAGACCGCTTAGAAGTCGTCGAGCACTACAGTCGACCCCCCTATAATTACGATTCCTATAAAACTACGAAAAAATATACGTATTTTGGAAATGTTGAGTCGGATTAGTGTAGAATCGATTAATTTTATGGAAGAAAACCTTTCAATCAGCCGTAGTCCGTAAACTTGACACGTGTCGGGCTGTGATTGGAACGACTTGTAAGAAATCGGATTCCTAATAAATTGGAACGTATCTATATCTTATAGGGGGGGTCGACTGTATATCGTCCTTATTGAGAAGGGCTAAACACGAATACAATTTAACAATAACAATTTAATAAATATTTTTCATTTTTAAGTTCCTACTTGTTTAATTTGTACTTAAATTAACTGTGTATCAATTCTCTATTGAATATTACATGTACTGTACATCCTATAATATATATTAATGTAACAGTTCAGTAATAATTGCTGAATTTCGGGATTAATAGAAATATGTACAAGGATTGGTCAGAAGTTAGTTGGAAAAATTATTTGCAACCTTCGTCGTGTATATATATAAAATGTAAATATATAATAGCATAATTCTTATTTTTGTATTGGTACACTCATTATAGGATCGCCATATTGGGCGCATAATTGTGGCCCGTCGCATTGCCTGTAAAGTGCCTATTTTCATTTTAAAAGTCATTTTTTTTTCAATTTTTAAGAACGTTTTAAGGAATGTTAAACATGATTTTTTTCATTTATTGTGAATCAGATTTTCGTGATAAAAAAGTATTTCTTCATTATAAATTAACGATTGCTTTTATTATTATTAAATAAACGTTATTTTGAACAGCCTGATTATAATAAAAGTTATAGCCTATAATAACTTTGAAGTATTTTACAGGCTTATAAGTATTTTGTTTAATAGCAGAAATGATGTAATTTGACGCTTACAAGGGATTAATTGTACAGTATATAACGGACGTACAGTACATAAATTACGTATCGTAGGGGGGGAGATTGCCTTACTAAGCCTGGCAACCGAGAGACAGTTTAGAAAATTAACATCCACCGATATGAAATTCTCAATCACCATGCGTATTGTTCAGACCTATCAACTATTAATTTCCCCTTTGTCTAGACAGCTTCCTTCATGGGAAAAACAACAGAAATGACAATTCATTTATTAATTAAACAGGCGCTAATCTAAATTACACTTAAAATAGGTTTTTCTTAACTCAATTTTTGTAGAGACATCAATCAACCATTCTGAAATTAAAATTTTTTCTTAATTTCTGTTTTGATTGGATAGGATCATTATGTAGCAATTAATGGTTTCAAAATTTAATATATAAAAGTATGTGTTTTGGGACAAAGGAGTAGGTAAAATAGAATATTTGAAAACTTCAATGTTTTTCCAAATTAATAAATTTTAGAAACAACATAACTTGTAAGGGTCTATCAAGAATGCTGATAACTTGATCAAAGGTATGAGAAAACAAGTAGATTGATCTTTTATTGCTTTTTATATTAGTTCACATTCTTATTAGCATGTATTCTAAGACTCATCAAATATGTAGTTGGCAACTTGAATTAGTTTTATTTGTATATTTTCTGTAGTGAACCCATGTATATAATTATCAATAAAACAACACAATGGCTGTTTATAGATAAGCTTATTTTATTGGCATGTAGCTTTTCTGACTTTTTCTTTAATTGGAATAGCCCAGACATATTTACTAAATATAGGATGAGTGATGAAGTATCCAGAACATTTATTAAATATTTAATGATGATATTGTATGATTTAACAGTAATTGATAATACAAATTAAAGATTCTCATATATACAGTAGAACCTCGAAAACTTGACCTAATGTGGACCGAAGGGTGGCCGAGTTTGTGAAAATGCCGAGTTATCGGGAATGGGGTTAAAAAAAATAAGTACGAGTATTTCCTCAGAAAATACTGTACTGTACTTGTACAGTATTTACTTGTACAGAATATAACAGAGAATAAACTGCCCAAATACCCTTAAACAAAGGAAAAGTACGTCCTTTATGAAGGCATAGAGCCACTACATGAAAATGAAAATTAATGAATACACTGTGTACAGTAATTTACCTGATAAGACAGACCTCANGGGAGATGTTTAAAAGCCCAACAGGCACTGGATGGGATTTAACTGCCCTAAAACAGGAAGAAAGCATCCTAGTAGGGATAAGGAGCAGCCCAAACCATGCAACCAGTTGGGCTGGGATAACCTAGGTAGGCAGCCCATTTCAGTTTGGTTTCAACCGAGTGAAGATATCAGTGTTGGTTCGACAGTTATCCGGAGTGCTAAGTTATCGAGGGAAGAGTTTTCGAGGTTCTACTGTATTGACTTTAAAATAACATCATATGATAGGTGGCATGTTTTATAATAAAATTTAATTAAATATCGACAATTATCTGACGAATTTATTGGAAAATTATAAAAACATAGTTGTTTCATTGTTAGCTAGAATATATAATAAGTAAATGGAGGACATTACACTGATCCTCATTTTCCCTAACAAATCAATTATTAGAGAAATAAGTTGGCATCATTTAAATTTGCCAACTGGCAAAACAATTCAGGTTTTCAAATTAAATCATAAGTTAGATCATAAAGAAAAAAGTATAGTTTACGAATGTAGAAGAAAAGCTTGATGAAATGATGCAATGATGAAGTTCCAAATTATATTGAAAGTTTATGTAAGTTATATGGTGGTAGAGTACGTTTGCATATAAAGGAGGAATCATGGAAAAAGATTTTAGATAAAATTAAAATATCAGATCGGGGTGTAGAAGTATCTAAATGTGTAAAAATATTAGACACTGGATGTTCAATGAATAAATGTTTGTTTTAAAAAAAATAAATTATTCCTATATAAACGAAAATCTCGTAAAAGCTAAATATGATTAGTTTTTTTTTAATTGGAATAGTTTGAAGCATACCAAACAAACTTGACATTAATCATTAACTTTACGCACAGGATATTTGACAGATAAGCATGCAATAAGATTATAGTTATTTATTTTAATGGAATGACTTTCATATTTTTCTTCCAGACAGATTCGATAGAAAGGTGAGAGGTCAATGTAAATTAAGATTAATAATACATTAACCTAATGGAATCACAAGCAGAAAATGTGATATAATTAGATTGAAAATGACAAAGTAAAACTGTTTGATCATTCAATTTTTGTGATTTATAAATAATGTGAATTTTTAATGACCATCTTCATGTAAGATAACAAAAACATTTTATGTGCAGCAAAAACATTAGTAATTAAGACTGTTTACAGTGTCTATATTCAAAAAATTTTTTGATATTTTAAACAAAATTTATTAAGTTCTTGTAATAAATTATTTATATAAATGTCATACAGATATTCCCAATTTTTTACATCAGAATCTTTTCAGAAGTTTCATAAAAAGGAAGTCGACTCTCTGTTGTTTATTCTCTCGCCTGATTCTAAATATTAAAAATAAAAAAAATGGAAATTAAAAACTATATTTTTAATCCAGTAATAATTTTATTGTTATTTTTAAATCTATATAATTTATACAAAATGCAATCAAATTAGTCATATTATAGAAGAAAAATTGCATTATTAAAACATAAAAAGCTAGAGCAGAAAAGTTTTGTAGTTATACATTTCCTAGATATCAATGTCATCTTTAAGAATGGGCATTTATCCACCAATGTGTTTGCCAAACCAACACACAGCCCACTCTATATCCCCTCACAATCCAATGATCCTTTTTGTTATAAATTGGCAGCATTTCATGCCTTAGAAGGGCTTTTTTATATTGCGGCAATGTTATGGACAGGTTTATGCAGATACCTGAAACCTTAGGTTACAGGAGAAACATAATTGCTGGTATTGTTAGAAAATCAGAGATAAATGATACAAGGGTCTCTAAACAAAGACCTAGTAAATACATAAAGTTCACATACAACAAACATGCAAGAAGCATCACAAAGGGGATTGCAGACATTAAAAAATCAACATTGATTTTAAAACAAGCTCCAAATGTATACAAAATTCTAAGAAATGATAAAGGGGATATTAAGAAGGAGGATAAAGCAGGAGTTTATAAGATCCAGTACAAGAACCAACAGTTAGGATTAAAAAAGAAGTACATAGGAGTTAGAACGAGAAGCTTGGGGGTAAGGGTCAGAGAACATAAATATGATGTTAAGAAAAGATCAAATGCAATGGCTCAAGCCCAAGGTTCCATAGTTGGATGGGAAGAGGCAGAATTCGTCAGACAAATACACTCTCCAACTTTAGCAAATACTGCCGAAAAATGGAAATATACAGAAGCAAACTTGATGATAGATGTATAAAAGCTAGGGATGCAGAGGACCTACCCTCAGCATGGAACTTTGCTATTAAAAGACTTACAAGTAGCTTATGAATTGTGCCTTGATCAGCAATCACGTTATGAGAACCTTTATAGTTTTGTTAACTGTTAGCGGCTTGTACTATTTGAGAGGTTGTGGCTGAAGTTTTCATCTCTAAAATGTGAACATCAAATGTTGCTTACAAGATAGTGACGTTCGATGTTCACGTTTTAGAGATGAAAACTTGAGCCACAACTTCGCTAATATTTAATTATTGTTGTATGTTGTTTATTTTTACGCTTTAATTATTTTACTTGGTTGCTCAGTTATCAATATTTTTTTTTATTTGAATTTTGTGTTCTATTCTATGTGATTATTCCATATTCATTGGTTTCGACCTGATGATGATCTATGAAGTAGATCGAAAACATTTATTTTTTAATAAACTCCCTCAGCAACGAATAAGGTGTTGGTTATTTTCATTCATAAAAAGCTCTTCTTAAATTTCTTGGAAGAAGAATAAATTTCAATTGAGCCATATTACTGATTCTAAAATTATCCAAGACCAAAGAAAGCATTGTACCATAGACTTTTCTCAACAAATATCAGAATAAATGCATTTTTGACCATTAGATTGTTCAGTCTTCAATAGTGTGTGTTGTCACTGTCATACATGAAGAACACAATATTATAGACATTGGATTAAGCAATGTTTATTCTTCTAATCTTTTAATAATTCTAAATATAATTAGAGAGACGGTGCCTAACACCTATCTCTAGGCCAAATTACTCAGCATAAATATAGCCCAATAGAATCCAACAATCATTTGGCATTAATATTAAATTTATCAAGGTTCTAGAAGAAAAGAATAGTCCCAAAGTGGGAGTTGAGTACAAGCCAATCACCCTACCTGGACCTCTGTCCAATCTTTGCCTCCATAACTATTATTTTAGATGTAACAATTATATTTATAAAATATTAAGTGCCATCTCTTCATAAAATTAAATTAACCTCTAGGTCAAATTACTTAGCATTTAATTATTAATAGCAGCATTAATAAAGACTAGTTTTTGCCATTAGACCAAATGCATTTTCTAATTATTCATGCATGATCTGTATTGGATTGATGCTATGGCAAAACTGGTCATGACTGAAGCCTTATAGATTAAAAGGAAAATAAGTAAGCCAATTAGGAATATATGTTTAGGAAATAGTTTAGTGAAATGATATTATAATTAATATTATGAGATGAAAATTGTTTTGATAATATATGTGATTCAGGTCTGATGACACAGTTTATTAGTATCATAGTTCGTTTATCCATGATAAAATAAGGTGATGAACTCAGGTGGCATGGCACTTCTGTTTTCTTCCACCAGAAATGCTTTTTGACACCCATTTTTATACTTAACAATTTATTTCTATGTTAGATAGAAAAAAAATGTTCCTTTGTTTTTATTATCTTTGTTTAATGTTACCTTTATTTTTTTATTGATCTTTCCTTTATAAGCTTGCCATTTGCTAAGCAGATAAAATCACTGAACACTAGCAATAAGTTGTTTGTTCACCCATGACCATTGGGCTGGCACAGAGTTTACTGGTTTTTCTTTATATGCCTAACACCTAAGTATAAGGCCAGTTTCGAATAGAAAGTTTTCTTGGGAGACTGCCTCCTGAGCCCACATGTTGTGCTGTCTTATCCCATCAATCTTACTAGTCATGTGAATATAAGTTCTGCAAATATTTTCTGATAGTTTAAAGTGTTTCTACAATGTCAGCTGTCTATGAACTATTGTATATGTAACTACAGGGAAAGGGGTATCCCAAAAGTACATTATTGTACACAACATGGATGGAGGGTATGAAAAGTGGCTCAAAAATTGTACATGTAATTAATAGATGAATTATTTAAAGTCAACTTAATAAGAAATATTATTTGTGGAATTCAAGATGATTCAAAGATACTAGTATGTAAAGGATTCATTTCCATAGAGAATTTTTATGCTGAATGCATTTAAGATTCTTTTAAAGTTATATTGAACTAGCAGGTAAGCCTGGAGTTGCCAGGGCAAGAAATAAGTACAAACATTAAGATTAGCTAATTTTGTACATTTAACCCTTCTATTGTATTATATTATAGAATTTGGTTTATATAACTGTACCCCCAAAGTAAGGAACCAGCCTCAGCATGATAGGGGGCCTAGTGGCAAGAGGCAGCAAGTTAGAGGATCTGACGTTCCTGCCTTGGTCTCGGCTATTGATGGAGTCTTTAGACTCAGGCCTAAGGTTCCAGAGGTGTCAGAGTATCATAATGAAGCTTGCTGTCCAAGGCCTAGGGATCTATTCTGGCCATTATCTCTCAGAGACGAGACGGTGTCTATGTCACAAGCCGGTCGCTGATTGGCTAATCATTTGTTTACATCTTGAAAGACCATTGTGTCTCTCCAAATGTGATTTTGGACTTTTTCTCTCAAAGATTCTCTTGTCTCAGAGATGAGCAAATAGTTGTCTTTCATCTTGGTTTCGTTATATCCGATAAGGACAACTGGATGCTACTTGTCTTCTACAACCATATTAGGTTACATTCTCAAAATATTCTAAGCAGCTACTCGGGAATGCCACTGACTCCATCTTTTTAAAATAATAATCCTGCATCAATTTCTGAACTAATGACTATGCTGTTAACCTTATTCCTCTAAGTATTTTTCGAAATATTACCATTCTAATTTCTTTCTAAGTACGAATGCTTTCCTAACTCAGGTAACATTGTCTCTTAACAAATAAAATGTTTGTAAAATTTGTATATATGTCAGGTTAATAATTTCATTGGTTAATGTCAAAAATTCTATAGAGTATGAAATTATAGATCATGTGGTAAGAAAGCACGTGTTCAAATAAAGCACTTAATTTTGATCAAGATATTTAAAAACACTACAAAACAAAAAACATATCATCCTGGTTTGTGGACAGATAACCAGAACATGTATAATCAACCTAATAGAATCATGATGTCAACAACAAAGATGCGATCGGTATGAATGACCAGGATCGCCTGTCTCTCTGAAAGAAGAGACGAGAGATAAGTGACCAGAATATGGCCCCTGGTACACAGACCCATGTCCCCATCCACAGCCTCCAGCAGGGTTTCTAACATCTCTCTATACTGGAACCCATCCTTGTTTGGATGGATGGCAATGAAAGCTGTATTTTGGTATAGTGTCATGCAGAATCACATCAAAACAAAAGGCAAACTGGTATGGTCATGGGCATAGCTAGAGTTTTGTTATGGGGGGCCCACATAACAAAATTCTGGCTATGCCCATGACCATACCATTAGAGGCCAACCTGACAAAATTGAATTATTTAAAATTATAGTTCATTAAAATGAAAATTCCATGATAATCAACGATAACTTAACACACATGAAATATGACATGAAACTTCCTTTAATCATAACAATGGGCACAGGGAGCCATTGACCTTTTTTTTATTTTTAGTATTCAAAGTTTTCAGCTTTAACTTTTTCTTTCTTTTTGCAAATTGGCTCAACAATTTTTCGACTGATTTTATGGGGGGTGGCACCAAGTTCACTGGGAGGGGCCAGGCCCACCCAGGCCCCCTTGCTATGCCCATGGGTATGGTCATGTCATGGCAGTTGTTCTCAACGGTTTCAGCAATACAAGGGCCAAGATGGTCCCTCAGTAATCGTAATTCCAGATAAATCTAATAAACATATGTAACCACTATGAACAGGATTCCCAGGGAGATCTTGTCTGACATAAGTTGGTAGCCCTGCCAATAAGGAGTGAAAGCACCAACAGGTGCCCTTGTTGGGCCTCACTTGATGGGCACTTGAAATACAGTAGGGATCCCTGTCGCACTACTGCATGGCCCGTGCCCTCGATCGAGCACAGCATTTGTTGGCAGCAAGATGGCACTGGAAACTTCACCCATGAGTATAGCAACTGGGGGGTCCTCTGTGATGGGCCTGGAGATGCTGGATCTCCTGGATTCAAACACTGTGTTGGTACAAGAACTGGAGGCCATGGATACGATAATTCTTACCCTCTGGAACTTGAGAGAGACACTCATGAACTCCTCTAGCATTCAACAATTTTTCTTT